GTTATATAACCTGATATTACAAAAAAACGTTATCATATAGACCTAACACGAATTCAGAATGGCTGAAAAAATTGTTCAGAATGTTTTTTTCCGAATCGTCAGCGTAAAACATTGAGTAAAAATATGTCCATTTTAAGCATTAATAAGATTCTCATAAAGTTTATCAAAAGTTGAATGGAATCAGAAAAACAATAATGATTTTTTCAGCAAATATTATTGATGGGAAGCTCTTGTTTAGTTTATTTATATATACTCTTTCAGTTTCGTATATTTACTGCAAACCATATGACTTTATACTGACGGATTTCAATCAAGAACCATTCTTTATGAACAACTTACATGGCGCAGACACCTTTGTTCGATAGCAAAAATGTGAACTCGAAACTACCGTCGCGCTAGAAACAAACACGCGTACACTTATGTCTAAGCTTTCATGAGTTTTTGAAATCAAATTCAATGTTAAATTTTCGCAATCAAGTCCAGTGTTCAATACATACTTGTCTATAGCGTAACGATAACAATACCCCCATTAAATACCGGAATTCAGACCCCAATTGGTCCTCGTAAAATATGAGAGGCTATCATTCTCTTGAAGAGAACTTTATGATGGCCAATATGTCTGTATGCTATCAAGTGCTAATTGTCGTTGGCGACAAGCGTTGTAAGGTTATTACGTCACACGAATTGTCACCTGGAGAGTGGATTAACCTGATTGAACATAAAAAAAATTAATGTAATAAATCGGTTTATTAAAAAAGCTAAATGATATGTGTTCCATCACTTTTCATTGCATGCTTTTACAAGTACGAAGAATGACCAATACACATTTGAAACGCATTTATATTTTTATTTTTCGTTTGGTCCGAATATACCGAACTGACGGTAAAACGAAACATAGAACTATAAAATAAAATCACTTTTGTGCGATTTATTTGTTACAATTTTGCTCAGAAATACGAGAAAGCAGACAGTGTGAAAATGCCACTGATAAGAAATCCACTAGAATAAATGTACCTCATTTATTAGGTAGGGCGCGATATGCGACGCGGTCGTCTGTATCCTGACATAGACAATCTACAAAAGCAAGTCGTTACTTTAAATAGGTCTTTTACGAAAAAATTCACGTGATTTCATAACAATTTTTTACAGTGATATATCTATAGACAGATTCAAGTATCACAGCGCGCGGGAAAGGTCATCGTTTTTCCAGGTCGTCACTAATTAGAAATGCAAACACCATTTTGGTACTTTTACCTCACTTTTTTTCTATGCATGATTGAAAAGTTTTGTTAAAAATGGATTTAGAAACAGATGGGAAAGATTGTGAGCAACAATTCGACCCCGGCTGCAAAGTAAACACAACTGTAACGCGACACCGCCCAGGTAGCGAGATTGTCAATGAAAAATCCGGCACTAAGCCTGCTTATCTAGTCTACTTCAGGACAGTTGTGAATATCTACATAGGCGCATGCTTTCGCTCTCAGTGCACTCTGCTGTTGTACAGATCTTCACCTAGGAAAAATCCCAGGTGTAATGAAAAATCATATATTATGCTATTTGTCTACTTGTATAAATAAATTCGTCAACATCTAACACAGTCCCAGAAAATGTTACAAAACCATCGTGCAGGATTTAATACCTAACCCAGTGTATATTCCACATAATGTGCCCGGTAAAAGTATCCTGATTTTACAAGTGTCCTACTTTTATATGTGTCAAAGATTATAGAATCACCTTGTCCGGCTAAAAAGTGTTCGCTACCGGCACTTTTGGCGGCCATGTTGATTTTGATCAATATTTCCTGACTGCATATATATGCGTAATTCAATATTTTTACATGTATGCAAGTAACTGAAGCCGATTTGCACAAAATATACCCTTTTACTCAAGTTACTCATAGTCTCTGCTTCAAAGTTTACCCCAAAATACTACAGTTTCTTACCTTCGCCCCTTAGTTCGATCCAAATTGAGCAGTTAGGATATTTATCCTTTAAACGGTGTTAATTCTGTTTGTACAATAGTTAGGCGATCACCGATTGCGATGAGAAACGGATGAACGAGGCTTACAGAATAACACTTTAAGATTTGAATACCTCCATTTGTCTTATTATCGAAGACATTTTCAATTTCTTTATAATCCGAAAGTAATCTGAAAACATAAATCTTTCGTGGACAAATATTTATTTTAGATAAGAAAAATGCAATTATGCTCAACGGAATTGAAATAAATGTTGGCAGAAAATTAGAGAATTGCACAGATGTTAATTGTTATTCCCTTTTATGGTTCCTTTTCTGACATATTTTTGAAATTTGTCCAAAAAGTTCACCATAAATTGCAAGATTTATTGCTTAATTTATTCAAGGAAAAGTAAAATTTTAAATAAGTGGAAGAGCAAATACTCGGAATCAATTGTTGCCAAGATTTAAGAAAAAGTATATACGTTGGTAGTAACTTCTAGAAATTATATCTTAGATTCAGTTGTTTATTTGGGAGTCGCTTTATTGAATTTATACGGACATTAAAACGATATAGAAAACGTTTCAAATCACGGTAGTTTTGTTTGAAATAAAATCTATTTTCGACATTGATTGGAAATGCAGATTCAGGAACAATATATACTTGAATGCAAAAAGCTTCACGCAAAACGATAATATATTAAATCAGACATTACAAAATAAATAAAAATAAACCTTTCGTCCCCATATTTATTGACTGGTCCTATAAAAATATCAACAATTTTTTCGGCGCTATTTTCATGTAAAGTTTCAAGTAAGGTTGCCAAGAAAAGACAAACTATACAAGAAGGTTATTTTAAATTACCGACTACTCATTATGGTCGAATAAAATTAGCAGTAGAATAGGCCATTTTTCCTATACAATTCTTAGACGATAACCTCGCATAACCCGATGAAAATCTCACGTCTCAAATCCCGCGTGGTCATATCCGGTAGTAGAGCAGTAGCTTGCGGGCAAAAGAGGTCTCGGTTACCCAAGGGAAAATTGCGTTTCCTACTTTGAAGTCTGTTGATCTATGAGTGGAAAATAGCGAATAGGGACAAGACCTATTTTCAATTAGCAGTTATCAGAAAGTTTTCGAATGTTCTGGGTTAACATAAATTTGTCTAAAACACGACCGGAAAGTTAGGGAATAAAAAAAAAATGCGATTCGTTTACGCCCTCTGAAACAAAGGCTTTACTCTGTATTATAATGCGGTATAAATACACGCTAAGCTCATAGATGTCCTGAATCAGGCATTATATAATAATTATATAAAATATAGAGACGTTCACTGCATAGAACCTTGTATAAGGCCCACCATAATCGATAATTGCAGCAAGTAGGCCTTTCAGTAGGCCTTTTTTCAACTAGACGAGTTAAACGCGTTCATGTAACAACTGGTGAACACTACTTACATTTTTCATTGAAGCTCAATTTAGCCACAAATTCCAAGCTTTTAATATTCCGCTAATAGATAAACTTCTACCACTAATATTGACACTCGATTATTTTATATTTTTTATGCAATTTATTAACTAAAGTGAAATAAACGATTAAAATAGTTTGAAATATATATGAAAGATAAAACTGCGACGCAGAATTTGAGGGGTGCCTACTTAATCAGCTTATTGCATAACTCCAGTTACGTTATACCGTGTATATTTCGACTGGCATATGAGTACAATGGACTTTCTCATAGACTCCTATTCCCTCTGACTTTTATTCTGATATTAGGGTACCTAGATTACTTTTACTTTAGATATTCTGAAACATCGAAATATTGCTAACAACAAATTATATTTTTGCAACGTAGTTGCCAATTTATTTCATTCAAAATGCGCGCAAAATTATTTGAAAATAAAAATAGTAATAGTAAATAAAAGAAAAAATAACATATTTTTCAAAATAATCCTTTAACACCGAAGCAAAGCTTATGCCAAAATTAATTTCGAAAAAAAAAACACAATTCAATTATAATGAAGCATATTTTTATTGTTGAGTTTTAATTTATGTAAGATACGAATCGTGTCGTTATAAAATATGAAGTCAATAACTCAAAAATTATTCAAAATAGGATTTTTTTTTATTTAGAATTTAAAATAGATTCGAACCTGAACTTTGAATTCATCCGTACGCTATAAAATGGTTTGGTCATGAACAAAAATAATCAAGTCGAAAAAATAAAGAAAAAAAAAATAGGGACGAATAATAAATACATGGCTAGAAATGGCTGCCGTTGGTCGATAAAATAGGTTTTGTGTCATGAGCACCACATAAAATTTACACTGTTCATGGAATATAAAAATTAACTGTGATTACATTCACTGTACAGAAATAACTATACGGGTTTCTATACTTCATTAAAATAGCTTTTTCCCTAATTTTCACGTTGGAGAATCTGATTTCACAGAGCATTTTTTAACCAAAGCTATGCATAAAGACGTCAGAATTTCTGAACATCAGGAATATAGTACGTCCAAGAATTGTCAGTGCTAAATAAATTTATGTATATTTTCAAAATTTGGACCAAATTGGAGAAATTATAAAATTAGAAATTGGGTACATTTTTTGCTAAAGAACGACTCATTTAATATCTATTTATGGAAACTTTCACTACTTTTGATTTCCAAGCAATCACTTCAAAGCAGCATAATATGTCACAAAATATTACTATGAAAATATAGCATAATAATAAGATATTTTACAAAAAAAAATTGCTCAAAACTTGGTATTAATTAAGGAATACAAACATAGCCCCTGCGTTGAAGGACTAGAATAAAATTATTCTCAAAGGTGAATAACACATTTCTCTGTCTTACGATCAAAACACTGGGATCTTCGGTAAGTTCCAATTGCGATAATTGTTTTTAATAAACAGGGCTTTGTCTACCGTCGGGACTGATGGGTGAATCCCTCTAATTCTTGAATTAACCCGCCAACAACTTTATGACTTAATCTCTACGTTCCTAGCTCAGAAATTTCCGTTTCACTGAGTTTTTCAACATCGTAGGTCGCACGTATTTCATTCTATTGTTTACTGTCATTTTTTCATATATATATTGATTTTTAGTTTTGCTCAGGTAGACCAAGTTGTGGTAGGCATCGGGTGATGCATCATTGAATCATGTAGCGTAGCAGGTGATGTGTGGATACCGGATCCAGTGTGCTGCTGCTGAGAATGTAAGTGTTGTTGTTGTTGTTGTTGGTAATGCAAATCTGTCACATGTTGCGAATGTTGTTGCATGCTAACTGCATGTCCCGGTGTGCTTGCCATAGTGTAGTGGCCAGTCATAGTAGCGGCGGAATGCAAATTGTGTGGCATGGAATGCGGATCCTGCATTGTACTCATGATCATACTATTTGGAATGGACGAGGGCGAGGGCCCTTGTGGGTAATGTAGGTGCCCCTGAGGAGGGGTGTGGGAATGTTGTTGCTGCACCATTTGATCATGATGCATCATTTGTTGAACGTGATGTGGAGGAATTTGATGATGATGAGCGTGCATTCCATCCAATCCCGGTTTTTGGTCGAGCAAATGGTTTGGACTTGTACTCACATGACCAACAGATCCAGGGCCTTCTAATCCGCCCTGGTGCGGAGGAGTCACCATACCGTCAGCACTCATTCCTCCCGACATACCAGCTTCACTTCCATCTCTGTAGAAAAAATACAAAATAAGTTTACAATATATACTAAATCAAAGAAAAAATAAATAGATGATTAAAATATAATTTGAAATAAAAATAATTTATATATAAAATTGCTATTAATTTAACATTGATATTATTTTTTAGGCTTCGTTCAAGTTCATAGCACCTGACATACATATCATATCAATAATGCTTTATATTTTCGCTTTTACCTCAATTCGATCGCCGACTGTTAGGGCTTTATTATGCGCGACGTAACAGGTGTCTCAACGCACAAAATGGCGGCACTATAAAACCGTTTACGCGATTGACTAGTCTTAGCGTATGCAGACTTCGAAAACGAATTTATTGACAATTTTAGATACGGCATAAATTCTGAACAAATAAAAAATGAAATATATTATGCAAGGGAACTTAAATCGAAGTTTCCCCAAGAAATTGGAGTGCATGTAACATCAGAGGTGAATACAAAAATGTCGTAAATTGGAGTCGATCACATACATATTATTATTCGGCACTATGCGAAGATTGAAAATATCTATCAACAGTTTCCGAACGAAGTATACGGTGAAGTAAGACCGTTAATTGTAACTAGGTTACAGTGAATATTAGTGAATGGGCTAGGCAATATATTTCCAAAAGTATGTTACAAAATATTATTTTCATTCGAAATCACTTCAGTGATTCGATTTATCTAATTACTTGTCCCACTCACCAATGAGTATTTTGTGTATCTAATACTATCGTTATGACGGAATAAAATAAATGAATTTCCTTTGGATTCTAAGAATCTAATTTTTGTAAGACTGAAACACGGATAGAAGCTCCGCGTGTGAGAACCTTTCCAAGCGTAAAAAGTGTAAGCAATTAAATTATTCGACGAGTGCTCGTTCCCAGCATTTTTTCAATAGAGCCTAATACAATTTTTAAAGCCAAAATGTAATTCGAAATAAAACGACGAAGAGCCTTAAATAAAGCCCTACTGGGGTAAATATTTACCCCTAAACTAAACGAGGAGATAAAGTCGCATCTCGACATACTTGAGTAGCCCTTTGTGTTTTGTGGCGAAATATTAAGCGACAAATAACGATTCGAAACGCACGACAGAAAATATCGAATTTTGTTCTGAGTGAATTTCTATATACAGTGTAAATATACAATAGGAAACAAAATAATATTATCAGAACGTACTAAAAATCATTTAAAATATAATTTTTCTTCGAAAATACATATATATGGGGTATTGCATTTCCGCATTTCATTACAGTCGGTTTTATTCATTTTATGATATCATCAAGATATTCAGTATTTATAACCACGATTCGTATATTCTTGACTAAATTAGTATACTAAAATTGAGAAATTTGGGCAGGTGTTTTGATTGAAAATTCGCTTGCCAACAATTTAAAGCGGACAAATGCATCCATTTTTAAATTAACTGAATGACAACAACCCATGCAAATAACATTTTAATATATCAAATTTTCTCACTCTCAACGCGCTTCAAATTTCTACATAGATATTTGATTGTATATTTAATAGTTTTTTACAATTTCCTATGAGCATTGCTATGTAGATTTAAATTAGATTAAATATTTGGCGTCACAATGACAGATCACCCTCAATTTACGGGGTTAAGAGGGATGATCGTTTAGTATTGGACAAAACAAACAAAAACAGATAGTGTGTACCCGTTTCACACATTTCAAAATAAACATTATTATTCAGCCATCACATTTATTTAGTGATTCGATCTTGCAATTTATATTTAACATAAAATACCTATATTATTAAACATTGTTTATTTATATTTAAAATATTGACTTTATTTGCAATGTTATGATTTGTTTAACTATAAAACAAATTTACAGAATGTATAATAATTTAGATAAATTGTAAAATCAAACTTCCAATAAATGCTTTTATCGACTATTTCAAAACATTCCAAATATTATATTAGTTAGACATAAATTTGTTTGCTTTTTGTTTCAATCTTATTACTAAAATAAAGCAATCGAAATTAATTTCGCTATTTCCGTTTTTAAATATTTTATGTATAACAAGTGCCTGCTAGAGATATAAATCCAATTTGACTATTTTTGTTAACGACGAATTCGACACCAATTAAACCAAAACAAAATATAATTCAAATTACCGTTCTTTGGCTTCTGCGGCTCGATCTCTTTGCCTTCGATTTTTGAACCAATTGCTGACTTGAGTAACAGTGAGTCCGGTAGCTTCTGCAAGCTCTCGCTTTTCCCTTGGTGAAGGGTAAGGATTGTGTGCATACCATTCTCTAAGTGCTGCTCTTGATTTTTCCTTGAAACAGTAGCTGGTCTCTTCTCCGTCCCATATTGTTCTAGGAAGGGGAAACTTCCTGTAGAGACAAGAAATTTAGAAGATTAATAAAAAATCGATACAACAACTTTTCACTTTTTAATGTATTGTATATAAATATTAACAAAGTATTTGAGTTCATATATATATAGGTAACAAATATTGTAAATATGTAAAATAACATCAAACTTTTGTTTGTTTCATACCTTCTTACTCTGTATTTTCCAACAGCACCGAGGGGTCTCCCTCGAAGTTTCTCAGCCTCAATATAGTGAGCTTTGAGCCATAGTTGCTGCAGTTTCATGTGATTATGAGGAGAGAATGTGTGACTTTCCAGTAATTTGTAGAGTTCACGAAAATTTCCTCGGTGAAATGCAACAACCGCCTTAGCCTTGAGTACGCTTTCGTTCTTGTGCAAATGCTCGCATGCTGGTAACGACCATAAAAATCGGGCTAAACGTTCAATATTACCCCCTTGTTGCAACACTTCACAGACACAAGCAACTTGTTCCTGAGTGAAGCCGAATGACAAACTTGATGGCGGGGCTGCCGATAGGATCGGCATCCCGGAGTGCGAGGCCATGTTCATCGGCGCCAGGTGGGCGTTGTGTCCGGCAGACGTGACTGCTGATAGTTGGGCTGCCGCTGCGGCCGCTGCAGCCGCCGCTGCTGCTGGATGGTGCGGCACGACCTGGGGCAGTACAGTTGTGTAGGAACTGACAGCAAGTGCAGCTGCCATTTGACAATCCTGAGGTCTTTGTAGTTCAGTATTGTTTCTATCTATTCCGTATCAACTCCACACCCAATCTCTTTATAGTTGTTTAGAATCGTTTTTTTCCTCGACGGAAAAACTCTTCCTCGTGAAGTTTTTCTTTGAGATTTAATCGGTCAATAAATTTCAAAGATACGATATCAAAAATCTAAAACGTACAGTAATATATTATTCAAAGAGCAATTTTCAACGCTATATTAACGATATTGCGAATGATTTTCCGAAATGCAAAATCAAATATGGCAGTCGGCCATATAATTCGATATACATCGCTCTCTCACGTGTCGAAACTCAACACGATAATAAAACGCGGTACAAGTGAAATCGAATGCAAAAACCTATCAATGTCTAACATTCCCATAACATATACTTTGATTATATCATCGAATATACATATAAAACCTCATAACATTCTGTTAGTCGCGATATAACAAGCAGTACGAATATTATAATTTAATTTGTTGCAACTTATATAGTGCCAGTTTCTGTAATTTTCTGAAACACGAGTCAAGCTGCCTAAAATTATGCTTATAAATTAAATTCTGTCAATGATATTGACTCCGAAAGCTAATAACAAAAAATGCGAAATGCCAGACAAATAAAACTCTACGATCGTTCGTTCTCTCGTGAAAAAATTTCAAAATGTCGGACGTCAGCCATATCCATGCATCGGGGCGTACTCAACGACGCGCGTTTCGATGACCACAAACTATATCTTTTTTACAGAACCATCTATAAACCCCTTTTACCTGTTCGCAGGTAATGAAACAGAGACAATAATGGGGTAGTCGTCGAAGCTACCGTTTATCTGTCGCGATCGCATCGTGATTTGTGACTTTTGTCATCGTTGGGAGAGAAAAAGGTGATCGGCGTCCCTTTTGTTTCAGTGATGTCGCACAGATGAAAAAAGGGTCGCGCAGATTAAGAATTATTAGAGTACTGTAATCAGCAATAGTGTACAAGTATAATATAAACACAATTAACCAAATATTATTATGTCATTTCCAGTCGGAAACTCTGATAGCTTTTCAATAGTAAATAAACCTTTATGTGGGTATATTTAATGTTTATTGCCAAGTCGAATCGAGTTTCATAAATTGATATTTTTTTGGAAATATAGATATTTTTCAAATTATTCAAACAGAGTTATAACACTACCAAATTTCCTGACCTGAAAAATAACTGTCGTTATGGTAGGCATCGTTATGAATCACTGGCATATACAGAGGTACTAATTGATTATTAGATCACAAAATATCAGTGGGCATGAGTAGATTCATTTAAAGTACTCGAGTACAGGGGTTATTTGCAAATTTAGCGACCAAAATACTGGAATAACAATTTTTCAGTCATTTTCGCTTTACTGTTATTGTATAAAAATAAGTCTTTTTCTGGAAATGACTGCATTACTCACACAGCAATTTAAAATTATCAGGCTTGACAGGCAAATTTTTTTGATTTTTGATAATACCAAACTCAAACCAAAATTTTTTAATCAAAATGGCGAATATGTGTAATATCTTTGCTTAAAATTCACTACGTAATTCAGTGATTTACAGAAATTTTAAAATAATTGCCAATTCACAGCTATTAACAAGTAAAATGATATCGGATCTTTCTTAGTTAATAAAATATACAACCTTTGATGTGCCATGTTACTCCATGTATGAGATTTCAATCAAATTTGTAAACTGTTGAACTTGACAGCGCGCTGCATATCCTCAACCCCATATTATGCGTGCCGTATGCGAGCTGTGTCGCCGAAAATGCTTCTTGTTTTTCGTCGACTACGGTAGCATGCATAAATCATATTTTTGTGCTTATTTCTCAAGAACCAAATTACTTTAAAATAGCAAATTCCACACGATGGAATACTTTACGTTACGCTTGTTTTTATATCCTTTCTGGCATCAAGTTTTTTCTTTGTCAAAGCAAGCTAACTCAGCAAGCAATATAACTTAGTGTATATGTTAGATGAATACACTTTGTGGGACTCATTTTTCTTTAATTTTTTCCAGACAAGTCTCGTTATAACCAGCGTGCGTTACTCGAAGCCATCACAGACTGGTCTTAGTCAATCCGATATGCTTAGACAAGTTGATATGTTGAAATATACCTTACAGCTTATAATTTGCCTCCTTTATATGAATGCTTTTCCTCTGTCATATTTATTATAATCTAAATTCACATTTTGGTTCAAGTGACCGTTATTTGAACATTGTAAATTTTTATACCATGTAAACTAATGAACATATATCGTTGTAGACTGAAAATAATTCTTAAACTTCTCGTCTCTAAAGGGAATTAAAACCATAAAAGCCTCTCTGTATTGTCATCATTTCTTAAACATCTTTATAAAAATATGTTTTAAAAAAACATTAATTAAAAAAACATTAACAAAACGGAGCAAAGAATCTAACATATGACATCCATGTATGATAATAATACCCGCAATCGAAGATTTGGTGTTACACATGTTAAAAATCCAAAATTTTGACCGGGCCGTGTATGAATTTAGATAAATAAACTTTGTTTAACCTTCAAACTTAACATACTTTACCACATTATTTTTACAGTACGTTGTATTCGCACTCCTGGGACGATTAAGCTCAGTGCTCCATATTTTATAAACATTTTCTAAAACTAAAAAAGCAACTGGGAAAAAGACGACAAGTAAATATCTAAAGAGACAGTATTCGTCACTGGATCGTGTATGTCCAGACAAATTAGAAATGTAGATATAACTCTATTATTTATATAAATTTTCTTATTACAAAATATATCGTGCAAAATATTCCAATGGGACCAACCTATAAACTAGCTCCTTTGGGGATAGATCATCGATGCATAGTTTGACGCCATTTGTAGGTTATGGAGTTAAACAAATTATTTCACCATTTATTCACAGCGATTTATGCTTTACTATAACTTAAATTAAAAATTCCTTGAAATGTGTATACATCGAGTTTTATTCTTGATATCATGTAAGTAAAGAACTGCTATTTTCATTGTTCTCGGAATCGATCGCCTGTTTATCTCGCACAACGAAATACGAATCTGCCTTATCACAGAAGGATTGCTTTCACCCATGACTTTACAGTCTAAAAAACATTGATGTTAATAAAGAGAATGTTATCATTTAAAACGTACTGCTATGGAACAAACTAATTGAATCGAGTAAAAAAACTTTATCAAAACCCATTTTGTTTGACTTTTTGATACAAATTGAAATTTACGAATTTTTTTCTTAACTACTTGAAGTTACTAATTGTGTCGAGTTAGAATTCAGATTCGCATGTAACATAAAATCTCGTTTTCACATAATGTTTTCAAATCTTGAAGACTACTTTTCAGATATTTCAAGATTATTTCAGAGCCACGACATTGTGTCACGTATGAATTTGAGACTTGGAGTTCCGGCCAGGATCGTGCTTGAGCAAGTGAGCTAACATATTACTTCCCCGTACATTTACGCTTAAAACGTTACTCGTACGATTGGTTTCGTGTACATAATACCTACATCACACTTGAGAGAAACTTATAATGATTTATCTTTGATACTAACGTGATGTGGTAGAGCAACAATATATAAACCGTAATTCCCGGACGGCTTTAGGAAGACTAAAAGCGATTTAATCCTTACGCGATTTGTATGCTACGAATTGACCTTGCAGATAGAGAAAAAAAGAACATATTGCATTTCCGTTTCTTACTGAATACCTTCTGGGTTCTACCGGATTGCGAAGGACGTTAAAATGGTTGCTCTAAATTGGAATCGATCTTTTAGTAAAGTAACGTCATACCAGGTACTGACTATACCGCATGCATCGATGGAAGTGGCCGAGGGGTTGCCTATGGGGTAGACATAATCATTTTTCATAAAAAAGAAATGCTTCTTTAATACACACATAGTCGCGGAAACCGTGCTATTTTATGCTGTGCGTGCGGAGTCCAACAATACTCCCGAGTTCAGAGAATAATCATTTTGGGGATACATTATCCTTTAACACTTTTGCAAAGCAATAAACGTGGCACTTTGCGCGAACGTGAAATAGCGCCCAATAGCTAGATAATTTTATTAGCCATCAATTAGAAGCCCTGTGATACAGATGAAGAATGATTCGAATATTATAAATTTTGGACAACACCTACGTTCATTTTAGAAACAAACGACGCAATAATCAATCATTAATCACAGAATATTGGCGGAAAATTTTGACGAACGCCAATATTCTTATCATGCCCAATTTCACACACCCACATGTTGAAATCGATGGCGATCACCCGTTTCATTGAATACAAGAAAAATACACGGAGCAATTATAAATTTATGAAATAAGATTCAAAATTGATGAGAAAGTTATGACATCATAATTAATACCCATGTTCAATTTAACGGTAATTAAAGAGTTTAGTTAATGAGAGAACGAGGAGTTTGACTTAATCCTTTTGTCGAACTTTCGTGGGAGAAAAATTGAGTTGCCTTGTCTAAGATAGGCTTAAAGAGAACAAATATCTCCCAAGCCTTCCGATCCCTACGGTTAATTTAGACTTAATAAGCGGGTTCGATAAAGTTGTTTGCCAAACTGATTTTTCACGAAAATGGGGGGTAATGACTCATGAGAAAAATAACTTCGATTAATTATGATACATGAATACGGTTGACTTCCAAAGCGCACTACAAGCATAAGTCACACTTGTTAAAAAATAAATTACAGACTGGGAAAAAACAAAAGCCGGTAAAATTTGTGCCACTAATAAGCTGGGTAAACGGATTTTAAAACTTGAAAAGACAAATTTTGTTTTCTTTACGTAACTGCATGTGGGAAAATTTGAAAGATAATCTCACAGATGTGGAAATGCAAGCTCGACTAATGGGAGATATCGGAAGTATTTTAACAAATATATTATCATCTATATAAGATAATACCATCGAAAATGACTTTGAATTCGAATACAGGCAAATTTACGCGCATCCATGAAATAGAGAAGGTTTATAATAAACTACCATTCTTAAAACAACTAAGCTTTGTTATAGCTCTTTTGGATCTGCATGAAAATTGGTTTCGAAGTAAAGGTACTTAAATAAAGCTATGCTAAATACAAAAAACAAAACGTCATAATTATGATTAATATTGTGATTATGTGAGTAGACGTACTTATATGATGTATTGGTTTAATTTTTTATCGGGTATTTCACACCTACTAACTGAAGAAGCTTCGTGCCGGGCAAGCTTTCGAACCTGCCGGGTTATACATATTCACTATGCCATGGTGGTTGGCGTGGAATGTCAACACAATATATATCTTTGGATACGGCGCGAACGCCATCTCACACAATTTATTCGCTCAAGGCGTTGCCTTCAAAGAAAGAATAAAGATTGAATCTGATTTGCATTACAATTATTCAAATAAAAACATCAGCACGCTAAATAAGTGTAAACTCTTAAAATTGAAGTAAGAAGAGTTCCATACGAACAAGTATTCATTGCAATGCAATTAAAACCTTCTGTGGATTGAAATTCATCAACATGTTCACAATATATAGGCAATTGCAGTTTAAAAAATTACCATATCACCTTTGTTAGACAAAAAAGATAAAACTACCAGAAACAATTTCAAACTACTTTGCGACATGTTAGTTAAACCGCAAAGACGAGATTTAGTTTTTGATTCTCGTGACACAAATTGGCATTCGATATTACATAGGTACCCTTGCTTTCAAGTATCTTGGTTTCACGTGCCAAGTATGGATTATACTTAAATCGT